GGATCGAGCCCGCCGCAGGTCCACCAATACGGTGCGTTACCGAAGAGAAGGCAGAGGTAGCGGGGTGAAGGGGCAGGAGCGTTCGAGGCCTTCGAGCTTCCTCGGGGCCCCGTCGTTGATGGAGGCCCCGAGGGAACTGCGGGGAGGCCTGGCCAAGTTGCCCTGTCCCCGCTGGCACTGCTCTTGCGTCCACCGCCCACCCCATCATCTGCTTGCTGCTGAGCCTCCCAAGGTTAGGGACGGCTGCACTTCAGCGGAGGTCGACAGTCTCTGACCGACCGACCGAAAGGAGCATCGAAGACCGAGGTTGTTTGGGCCTCTGGAGGTCTGCGGAGGTCTTCAGAGACGTCCGGGTACCTCCGGAAGACTCCCCAAGGACCTCTGAAGACCTCGGAGCCACTCTGGAGGACAGCAGGGAGGAGAGAAGAACGAGGAAGGGAGGGATCGAGGAGGCGGAAGCGGGAGGAGGATCGAGGAGGGAAGATCAAAGAGGGGGTGATCGAAGAGGGGAGGAGATCGAGGAGGGAAGGACGGTGATAAGGGAGAAGCAACAGGATAGCGGAGAAGGAAGAGGGATCGTTGATCAGAGTAACAGTTTCGTGTCGGTAAGAGAAGCTGACTTGGCATGTCAGCGACGGCTGGGATAACGTAAAATCAAACAACAAGCATGATCGACCCTCGATCCTCCTCCTCATCCTCCTACTGATCCTCCTATTACTTCCCCTCCTCAATCCCCCTCCTCCCCCCCCCTCCTTGTCGTCCTTCTCCGCATCCCCCCTACTCCTCCCAGTCCACGTCGTCGTCCCCCTCCGCCTGCTACAGCTGCCGCCGATGCTGCCGCTGCGACTGGAACCCCGCTCCCCGTCATCCCCAGCGGACCTCCGACCATAACCAGCCTGGAACATATCCCTATCCCTATGCTGGGCATTTCCTCATCACGATGCCAATCTTAGGGATTCCCTTATTTTTCGAGGGCGAATCCCTAAGATTGTCATCGCCCTTTGGCGTGTCAGTCTTAGGGATAGGGATACGTTCGAGGCTGGTAAGATCCGCTGTCTTTCCACCCGCGGGCCCAGGGCTCCCGACCCAGACCCGTCTTGGGACGGCCCGGGGATCCCGGCAACGGGCCACGGAGGCCGACATGGAGGAGAAGCGCCCAGATTGAAGAACACATACAGTCGGGGCGTTGACCTAAGGAACCCTAAGTAAGGAACGAGGCCCCTTTTTCCCATGAGTTAAACTTCGATCCCCCATTGAAAACCTACGGAAAACCCAAGGAGCATTGCAAAACAACTAAGGAACACGGAGCCCCTCCCCAACGAACAGGGTTCCTTCTTCAGGGCCCCGACTGTACCGCCGAAGACCGTGGCCCCGGGCCAGAAGAAGTGCATCCGGCAGCCGCGCGGGACGGTGCTGGCAACGCTGTGACGCCCTCGGAGAGGTGCGGCTGCAGGAAAGCAGCCCGAGGCGAGCAGACCTCCAGGAACCAACGGGAGCCTCGAAACAACGAACCAGAAGCTCAAAACGAAGGGAGAGCGCTGCGATCGAAATGATCCGGGTCCTCCTCCTCCTCCTCATCTTATGATTCCTTTCAGTAATACAAAACGATAGTAGGAATATTACTACTACACGATCATTATGCATTTTTATATTGTTACCGATCGTAGTATGATCATTATTGTGAGGGTTTTTATCATCACTATTAGGTTGGCTACCAATCTTACCATGAGCATTGATAATATTAGTACTAGTAGTGTTATTATTATTCCTCCTCCTCCTCCTCCTCCTCCTCCTCCTCCTCCTCCTCCTCCTCCTCCTCCTCCCTCTCCTTCCTCACCCCCCCCCCCCCCCCCCCCACCCCCCCCCCCCCACCTCCTCACTCCCCCCTCCTCCTCCTACTTCCTCCTCACCATCTCTCCTCCTCCTCCTCACTCCTCCTCATCCTCCCATCCAATCATCATCATCATCATCTCATCATCATCATCAGCATCATCATCATCATCATCATCATCATCATCCTCCCTCCTCCTCGCCAGGCACAGCGGGGGCGAGGGGGGCGGCACCGCGTCTGCTCCAGGAAGGTCGGCCGGATGCGCTGCGCCCGCTCCTCGCGCGGAGCGGGCGCCGCCGTTCGCAGAGAGAGGGCCCGCCACCCACCGAGACTGCGGGAGGCCCTGGCTGCGCGCCAGGGTGGCCGCAGCAGCAGCCGCAGCCGCAGCCGCGGCCGCAGCCGCGGCCGCAGCCCGAGCCGCAGCCCGAGCCGCAGCCCGAGCCGCAGCCCGAGCTGCAGCCGAAACTGCAGCCCGAGTGGCCTCTGGTGCGCTACTCGCCGATCGCGGCGCGCGATGCGACAGTCCCAGATCGACGAAACGCGGAGCACCTTGGAGCTGCGGGTCAGCGCGAGGGGGGCCCGGGAAGGAAGGAGAGGGAAGGGAGGAGGCAACGGGGCCACGGCCTGACGCTTCTTCGGGCAGTCCGCCTCCCTAGCGCGCCCTCCCAGTGCGCCTTCCAGAGCGCCCTCCCAGCACGCCCTCCGGCGTCGCAGCCCCTGCTCCGGCCAAGCGCGCGCAGGGGATCGTGTAAGATCGCCCGGGCCCCCTCACTCGGACGATCTGTCCAAGCTTGGTGGATCTCCTTCACTTCGGCCTCCCGCTGGCCCGCTGCCCGGACCAAGGGGCAAGCAGAGCATCGATGCGGGACGAACAAAAAGTACCCCCCCGGGGGAGGGGGTCAGGAGTTCCCAGTGAGCTGGCCGCTCGGGGTTGCTACGGGGAGAGGGTGCTCGGAAGCGGATGCTAAGGTGTATGATGTTTGGACCAACCTGCAGCCAGCCCGTATCTCAAGGATGCGCGGTAAGGATACGAGGGCCTTGGAGGCCCACGTGAACGTGCTTCGAACGAGGCTGGCCAACGGAAGTCGCTAAGGATGGACCGAATGGGCAAGGATGCATTGGTACCCTTGGGAAGATTGCCCCTCCTTCTTGTGCGAGTTGACTGTAGCTCATAAGAGAGATACGGGTGCCCTACATGGTTTCGGAGCGGCTTCGGCCTCCCCAGACATTCGACGCCCTGAGAAACAACGACTCACATGCTACTCCATGTCAGGAGCGGCCAAGAGGGGGGTGTCCAAGAGGGGGGGTGCAAATCATGACCGGCGGCATGTGCGCGGCCCATTGGAGGGGGGCCAGGAACGTAATGAAACACAAGAAGGGGCGCCACGAAATCTGGGGAACCATCATGGCCCCCGCCATGCTATCCCCCCCCCCCCTAGTCATCACCCCCCCCCCTTTGCCGCCCCCGACCGTGTCCTGCGCCCGAGGGCCAATGGCATACCCCGGGGCAGCCCGACAAACACGGCACACACGAGACGGAAACGGCGGGCCCCCGGGGCAGGAGGAGGAGGGAGGAGGAGGAGTGAGGAGGAGGAGGAGGAGGAGGAGGAGGAGGAGGAGGAGGAGGAGGAGGAGGAGGAGGAGGAGGAGGGGATCAGTCTTGGCCGCTGCGCGGCTCTGCCACGACTCGTCGCGCGGTCCTCTCCTCCCGGCGGCCGCCCAGGCCGCCGACGAGCACGGCACACCACACGCGGCTCTCGCGCGGTCTCGAGCGTGCGCGCGGGCCTCACAGCACGACCTCGCCTCGGCGAGCGCCGCTCCGGGGCGCCGCCCGCGAAAGCTGCTCTCGCGGGGCCCACTGCGGACGGCATCCCTCGCGCTTCGGCCCTCGGCTGGGCAGTGCGGCGCGGCTCGGCAGCACAGGGCGGCACGTCCGCCCCCCACAAGGGGCGACCCATCGCGCAACTTGCAGCCAAGGCACGACGCGCCGCCGGGGCCAGAAACCGGGCCGAGCGAACAGGGCCACCGAGAAGACGCTGGCAGATCGACGGCCGTCAATCCGAGAGACGCACAACGCTGAGGGCATCCACGTCGAGCCATGCTTTGTCGCTCGTCGGGTGCATGCCAGCAGAAATGCGAATCCAATAATGTTTGGCAGATGGGGGACGTTTCGGCTTCTCAAAACACTGCTGACTGAGGTACTGCACATGCCCGCCAGTAGAAGAAGCCTTGCACCGCAGACAGATGCACAGGGCACCGCCGTCGGAGCAACACAACGCAACGCTCTTGTGGCCGAGCTCGATCAACCTTGTGTCACAGAGCTTGTGGGTCTTACTGCAGACACTGTTGGGAGGGGGGGGGCAGGCCGACATGGTCGCCCGCAAGCACTGCTTGCACTGCCAGTAGGTGCCCCTCCAAATCCAGGATCGGCGAGCCTTGGGCGCACGGACGGCCTGCTCCAGACGGGTCCGGGCCGCCTGCGAGAGGTCACCCCGAGGCCAGGCAGGGAGCAGTCGGACAGCCAAAATGCAGGCCTTGCGTGTGATCGAGAGGGGGAGGAGGAGGAGGAGGAGGAGGAGGAGGAGGAGGAGGGAGGAGGAGGAGGAGGAGGAGGAGGAGGAGGAGAAGGAGGAGGAGGAGGAGGAGGAGGAGGAGGAGGAGGAGGAGGAGGAGGAGAAGGAGGAGGAGGAGGAGGAGGAGGCGGGGAGGAGGAGAGGAGGAGGAGGAGGAGGGGCGGAGGAGGGGGTAGGAGGGAGGAGGAGAGAGGAGGAGGAGGAGGAGGAGGAGGAGGAGGAGGAGGAGGAGGAGGAGGCGGGAGGAGGAGGAGGAGGGGGAGGAGGAGGAGGAGGAGGAGGGGGGAGGAGGAGGAGGAGGAGGAGGAGGAGGAGGAGGAGGAGAGGAGGGAGGAGGAGGAGGAGGAGGAGGAGGAGGAGGAGGAGGTGGAGGGGAGGAGGGAGGAGGAGGAGGAGGAGGAGGAGGAGGGAGGAGGGGGAGGAGGAGGAGGAGGAGGAGGAGGAGGAGGAGGAGGAGGAAGAGAGGAGGAGAAGGCGTGTCGGCTGAGGGCCGCCCCTGGGGATTGGGGGGCAGCCCTTCCCGCCGTGGCCTCACGCGTGGCCCTCGGCCCGCGCGCGCCATAGCCCGCGGACCCCCGCGGCAGCGCTGCCTGCAGGCGGCGCAGCGCACCCGCGGCCCAGCCGCGGCCACTGCGGCATCGCCGCGGTCACGCCGCCATTCGAGAGGCGGCACTGGCGGCGTTCTCGGTCAAGAGAGCCCGCCTGGCACCGACGTGAAAGGAGAGCCCGCGGACAAGCGCGACTGCTCGTGAGGGCGGTCAGCGCTCGTGAGCTGCTCCAACGTCACCACAGCGCCCAACAACCACGGCGCCGGTCCGACTGTGCAGAAGACATGGCTGGTACCTGGCAGTGTGCGTGTGGGCGACATGTATCAGAGCGGCACTGGACGTGCCGAAGCTGCAATGGCCACTACAACCAAAGGAGACGACGCCCTGCATCGCGGGGGCGACCGCCATAGCAGCAAGCAGCAAGTGCTTCCACCCCGAGGTGGGCTACCCAGCCCGAACCCCTGGCGAAGAAGCTCATTGCCAAGACACTACCTCTCCCGAAGAGCGAGGCAGAAGCGCACAAGGTCTACGAGGTTTACGGCAAGCCTCCCACAGACCCAGCCGCGCAACGCCAGTACAAAGACGAGATCAAGAGCCGCACATACGATTTTGCCAACCTCATCTGTGCGGCCAGGCGGGCCAACAAGCCCTGCGACCAGGAGCTAATAGAAGTTGCAGCACTCAAGTTCCTGATGGGACTCACCGAGAAGCGCAAGGACCAGATCCAGGCCCTGAAAAAAAGAAGAAGACTACGTACAAGGAGAAACTTGCCAAGATTCGGGGAAGCATCAAAGAGTTCAAGCAGCAAGAAAAACTGGTCGAGACGGAGATCGCCAAGACCGACGTCTGCATAGCCGAACTGGAGGATGCCCCAGACTCCGAGGACGAAGAGCCCGACGACGTGGCCCAGGACCATCAGGCAGCGGACGGCCCAGCTTCGCACAATGTGGTTCCACCGCCACCCCCACCAGCAGCGCCTGGCAATCAACTGACTCAGATACAAGCACAGCTCGCCATGCAGCAAAGCGTAATCAGCCAGCTGCTGGGATTAGTGCAGCCAGCCGCGGGGGCATGCATACAGGGCGTCCCTGGAGCCCCCCCGCCCGTCACGGGCGCGGTCCTGGCACCGCCTCCAGCACATCTGATCCAGCAGATGCAGACTATCACGCAGGGCACTTTCCCTCCCCAGCAAGTTTTCAGCCAGCCTCAGCAGACCCAGCAAGTGCACCAGGGCACGCCGGCGAGGTCCAAGTCGGCCATGGGCCAAGCTTACATGGCGGCGAAAGGGAAAGGCAAGGACGCCAGCGCAGTGGGGTTTACCCCAGAGGGGGCGGTAGCCCCCATGGCAGTAGATCAGAAGGGAGCAGCGCCTACAACGGCGAACCTTGCAGTGCCGCCCCCAGCCCAGGGGCCAGCGCACCCGCCAGCCCCACTCCCTGGAGGGCCAGGCCCCCACCAAGCCCAGCACGAGCTGACCCACGCCATTGCGGCAGCAAAGGCCGCTGGGATGGACCATCCGACCCCAGAGACGGGGGGCTACAAGGACCCAGCGACGATCAGGGAGCTGCACGCCCAACTGGAGGCAGCAAGGAGAACGGGACCGAGCCAGGCGGCGGTCACCGCGCAGTCGTCTCCGACCCAGCAGGTCGCACCGACCCCGCCAGCAGACTCGCAACCAACCATAAGCTCACAGCTGCAGGGGTTGGACAGAGTTGTGCAGGCCGCCACGGACGCTTTCTTCCAGAAGCAGCGCGAACTCCAGGAGCAGGCGGAAGCAGCCAGAATACCATGCCCAACCTCTCCGCCCAGAGCTCCCCTGCACCGCAGCTCGCCTACCGAGCACTCCGTGCCAACAGCAGTGCCGAGTCCCAGCTCGCCACCAGGGCAGGCAGCCCAAGGGCAGCCACCAGCGGTACCATCTCCCACAGAGGTCGAGGTTCCCAGCCAGATGCCTTCACCGTCGGAGCCTACGCTGGTACGCAGCCCAGCCTTTGCCACAGCAGCGGGGTGTTCACCCACAGCGCCATTCCTCCCGGAAGTCTACGCGCCAGGTTTCCACTCCGCTCCGACTCAGCTAGCATCGCAGACTCAACCAGAGACCCAGGTTGCAGCACAGGTGCCTCCAGCACCAACAACGCCCGAGCGCCACCAGACAGCGGGTCTCAGCCCCACATCGCCAGCCGACCCAGCGTACGGCCAGAACGCGCACGACTGGGGGCCGCTGGGGCAGCCACCAAGGAAGTCGGCGTGCGCACCAGGCACCATGAAGGACGACATCTGAACATCTGAACTTCCGCTCATCGGTCTCGTGGGGGGGCACCTTCTTCTGTTCGTACGCCCAGCCGGCACACGACGATGAAGAAGGAGAACAACATCTACCCCATCATCTGAATGAGCAGAGTGAGCCACCCGCCGCGAATTTTGAGGGATTCAAGGGACAAGAAGAGTCCCCCTCGCGCTTGGCTGGCCCACTGGAACTCTCAACCCCACATCGTCTTGGCGCCCCGTGGGACCCAGGGGACCAGGGTGGAGCCAACAATGCAACCGTCAGCCTGCCAGAGGCTGACTTCTTTGTTCATGCCGACCCTAACGCTGATGGGGAGGCCAATACCAATTCGATAGGTAATTCCGCGGCTGCGGGGAAAAAGCACCCACGGCACTCTGGGGACCCCCCCACCGCATGCTCAGATGAATTTCCAAGAGTATGTTGATTTGGGTTCTGGCGCGATGCCGCTGGAACCACAGGACCTGAGGCGGCGTCTGCGGGGGAAGCAGGCACCTCCGCAGATTTACAGGGAGCCCCACAGGGCCCAGAATTATGACGGGGAGACTGCCATTGCATGTACCCTTCCGATTCCCCCCCTTCCCGACCCACTTGGGGCTGGCCCCATCGTCGCCACGCAGCTGGACGAGGCCCGAAAGAACCGCGTCGCTGCCGCTCCGCACCCTGTTGCTTCGAGGAGTTGCCTGTTGGACTCTTGGCTCGATGTCAGAGGGACCCTGGATTCCTATCCTATGGCGCTCAAGCATTGGCCTACGGATCGCTTTAACGACACTATTCTGCATCCGCATACTAGGTACGCCTTAGCAAACACTAGCCCTGCCGATGCCCGCGAGCCCGAGAGGGCCTGGACATATGTAGACGGATCTCTCGACCCCAAATCGCCCGAGAATGGTGCATGGGCCTTTACTGTATTGCATCAGATCGGCGATCGCTACACTTGCCAAGGATATCTATCAGCTAAGAGCTTAGATTCTACAGCGTTTCCTTCGGATCCTTCCAGATGGACAAGTACTAGCACCGAAGTGCACGGAGTCAGATGGGCACTGTTATGGAGTCTCCAAGACCAGAGCAGCGCCCCAGTCTGCGTCATCTCCGACAATCTTGCTGTTTGGAGTCATAGGTGCAGAGAGGCCTGGCGGCCCATGATGCCCCCCAAGACCCCCGAGCAGCTAGCTGAGGATAAGGAAGCCATAGTCGCAGCCAGGAAAGCTAACCGCAAAGCGGGGAGACCTGAACACTATGCTGAAAAACCGGCCTTTCGGGTCCCTGGGGTTTCGATTTGCCCTCCTGCCCAGGCCCCGAGGGAAAAACGTGCCTGGAAACCTTTCCCCATGGCTCGAGTTGATGCTGAGGACAGAGCCCTTGCAGGCCAGGTTCCCAGGCCAGTCGGCCAGCCTACCATGTACCTCCTACTCTTTTTCGCTGGGGCCCGACGCGATTTCGACATCCTACACGAGTTTGAGAGGGTTGCCGAGTCCTCTCCTGTCTCTGTGTGGGTGATCAGCCTTGACGTTGCTAACGACCCCAGCTGCGGCGAGGTTTCGAGACCTGAGACGATCCGTTTTTGGTATCGCGCCATGGCGGAAGGCAAGGTCGCTGGATTCTGGGATGGCCCTCCGTGCGAGACGTGGTCCCAGGCCCGCCTCCGCGTCACTACCGTGTGTAGGGGTCCCCCGCCTTGGCCTCTCCGCTCCCCTGGCAAGCCGTGGGGACTTGGCGACCTCTCCCCCAAGGTTGCCAGGCAAGTTGATGCGGGGAACTTCCTGCTCCGCTCGGCGGTTTTCTTCCTCTTCGTCGCCCTCCGCCTCGAAATCCCGGCTGTGATGGAGCACGCTGCTCCTCCCTCCCGTCGGGGGGCCCCTTCGGCGTGGATGTTCGACGTGCTGGAGGTTCTCCTTGGACGGCCCGAGGTTGCGGGGGTCCTCACCGACCTATGCCTTTTCGGGGCGCCGTCGATGAAGCCTACTCTCTTTCTTTCGGTTCACCTTCCGTCTCTTGGCATGGGAGCTCGGGCTGCTCGGGGGGGCGGGAGGTGCTTCCACGGCCCCCGAGGCCATGTGACCCTTGCGGGCTTTGAGGGCTATTGGCAGTGGCGCACCTATAGGGCTAAGGCGCACCCCCAGGGCATGTGCCGTCTTGCTGCCTCTGTTTTCCTTCAGGCTTTCCAGGGGAGATGGCCTCTGGTCTCGGGTGCCCCTTCGGAGAAGGTCGAGCCAGACTTCTTGGCCTTCTGGGAGCCCCTCGTTCCCTACGTCGCGCGAGCCATGGGCAATGACTTTGCTCGCGAATTCTCTGGCCCAGAGCCCTAGCGGGCCCGAGGCAACATGGTGCGAGGCCTCGGCCCGCCCTGCCCCACTTGGGTGCCGGGACCCCGTCCCTGCCCTGGCAGGCTCCCGGGTTCACCGCATGCTCCGCGTGCTCTCCTTCGCTTTCCCTGCCCTTGTCCTTTCTCGTGTTCCTTTTCCTGGCGGGTGGCGCTTCGTGCACATCATCCTGACTCCAAGTCCAAAAAGGAGGAGGAGGAGGAGGAGGAGGAGGAGGAGAAGGAGGAGGAGGAGGAGGAGAAGGAGGAGGAGGAGAAGGAGGAGGAGAAGGGGGGAGGAGGAGGTGGAGGAGGAGGAGGAGGAGGAGGAGAAGGAGGGAAGGGAGGGAGAGGAGGAGGAGGAGGAGGAGGAGGAGGAGGAGGAGGGGAGGAGGAGGAGGAGGAGGGAGGAAGGAGGAGGAGGGGAGGAGGAGGAGGAGGAGGAGGAGGAGGAGGAGGGCGCGGTCGAGCCGCTCAGACTGCTCGGGGCTGGGCTCTTCGGGAGCCAGAGCCCCCCACTTTAAGAGGGGGCCCCAGAACACACACACACACAAAGAAATGCACACACATAAATCGATTCCCAATATTTTCACATATTTTCTGGGCTTTTGTCTTCCCCCCCACTTCCCATATTTTCCCATATTGTCCTGGGGATCGACGATTAATTGTGTCTGTATGTGTTTTCCCCCTCCTGAAGCTTGGCATGGTGGTCAGCTAGGTCGCTGCCTGACTTGCAAGTTTTCAGGTGGGCAGCGCCCTCCACCTGCGCGGCAGACATGGGACCTTTGACTTCACGAATGCGACCCACCTGCCAGCCTGCAGCCCATACAAGCATGCCAGCGTGCACACGGGGAACAGACACCTCCTCAGCCCGCGGCAAGGCCCACACCTCAACCGCACTCTGACAGTCGCCAAAACCCTCACTGGGAGCCAGCGGATTCTGGCACGCCGCCGGGCATCCCGCACACTCGCCAGCCTGGGCCGTCCGTGGGATAGGGCAGGGGAGGGGAGCGCACGTATGACCCAACTCCTGCCCACGGTCGGACACCATCACACGCGCCGACCCCGTCCGCGGTGGCTCGGGAATAACTGGCGAGGAGGAGGAGGAGGAGGGGAAGGAGGAGGAGGAGGAGGAGAAGAATGAGGAGGAGGAGGAGGAGGAGGAGGAGGAGAAGCACGAGGAGGAGGAGCAGGAGGAGCAGGAGGAGGACCTTGACCGCCCAATGGAAGAACAGAAGGCATCCGCTCTCGGCGTCCCGAGACCGTCTCTGGGGCCCTCTTGGCCGTCTGACGTCGGCGGCGAGAGAGGGGGGGGTGAGAAGTAGAAGGCATTTCTCAGAAGCCTCCGGCAATATGAGAGGTGTTCTGTGTCTCCAGGGAAGGCTTTGAAAACTGTTCAAAAGGCCAGGGGGACTTCCGAGCCTTCTGAGAAGGCCCGCCCCTTCTCACTTCACCCCTGGGCTCGCCGCCGTCACAAGACCACTCGGCCACCAAAGAGCCCGGGTGTGGGCTGGGGTGGCCTTGGAGGAGGAGGAGGAGGAGGAGGAGGAGGAGGAGGAGGAGGAGGAGGAGGAGGAGGAGGAGGGGTGGCCTTGGAGGAGGAGGAGGAGGAGGAGGGAGGAGGAGGAGGAGGAGGAGGAGGAGGAGGAGGAGGGAGGAGGGGGGCCTTGGAGGAGGAGGAGGAGGAGGAGGAGGAGGAGGAGGAGGGATGAGGAGGACGAAGGACGAAGGAGGGACGAGAGAAAGGAGAGAGGAAGAGGGATGCCGAGAGGCCTGGTGCGCAGTCCACCCGGCAGGCGAGTGGTCGCCCCTCGCTCTCGGCCTCGCCCTCCCGGGGCCTCGGCGGCCTCGCCCCCTTCAGCCCCTCGTCCTCGCCCCTTCGCCCCTGGCACTCGCCCCGCCCCCCCCTGCTCTCTCTCTTCTCTCTCTATCTCTCCGCCGCCGCGCCCCCCCCCTCTCTCCCTCGCCCCCCCCCCCCCCCCCCCCCCCCCCCCCTCTCGCTCCCCTCCCTCGCCCGCCCTATCCCTCCGCCTCCCCCCCCCCCCCGCCCTCTCCCTCGCCCCCCCCTTTCGTTCCCCCCCACCCACTCCTCTCGGGTCCAGGTCCAGACACCTCCGCCGGAATGTGTCCACAGGACGTGGCTCCCCGAGGGTCTGGACCCCTTCCCCGGGACGGGCTTCTCCACCCGAGCCGTTGTGTGCGTGAGGGCCCCGGGGCCCAGCGAGGGCCCCTGGAGGCCGCACATCCGCGCGAACGCCTCTCGTCGCGATTGCTTCGCAGCGAGGAGATCCCAGGGGAGGTCGCGGGGGCCCGCGGGGCGGTGGTCGTGAGAGGTCTGGGCACCCAGAGGCTCCGCAGGCGCGGGGTGGCGGGCCCGCCCCGGGCTCCCGCACGAGGCCGAGGAAGGCCCCGCCGCCGTTGCCGCTGTACGACTCCTCGGGCGGAGGGGGGCAACCCAGAGATCCGACGCTCCGCAAAAATTGGAGCAGCGAGTGGTTGGCTGTCTTCGGCCTCTGGGCCCTCGCCGGGCTCCGGGGCCGTTGAGTAGCTACTCACGACGAACAACCAGCCCCAGGAAAGTGGTCCAGACCTCTGGGGCCCACGCATCGAACAGACTGGAGCGGTCGGAGATCTGGGAAGCTCTCGTGTTCTCTCTTGGCCGCCGCGGGGCTGCTCAGGAGGAAGGGCGCGAGAG